ACCTTCCTTTTTTTCTCTCCTCTCTTTTTCTTTTCACCTCCATTCACCGAGGATAGCAACTTTGATCTTCCCACCGCGCGTGCCTGGGACCGTGTAATTGCGAGATCAATCACTGTCACCGTTTTTTCCCTGTCCCCTTCGTCTCCTCACCCCCCCTCTCGCCGCCGTCTCTTTAGCTTCTCTATTTGCGATCTATGGTGTCTATCATGGGAGAAGGCTGGTCCAGTTTGAGGATCGAGCGTTCAGGTGTCTGTGGACGATTTCGGACGGGACGAGAGCTCGTACGGGAAGTGCAGACCGATCTAAATTTAGCTTCCGGCCTCTTCTGCGTTGATACAGCTGTCGTATACCTCTCTCCTATCTTTCATTAGTTTTTAGTCATCCTGCCTCCTTTCCTTAACTGTAAACAAATCCGCATCATCCTAACGTTTGTCACCCCGAAACCTAGACCTCCACATCATCCTTTACTCATCGCTGAACCTAGACCTCACCGCCTCTCCCTACATTGACCTCTGAGACCAACCCCTACTCTCGTACTTACCGAACCTATATCTAGAAACCTTTTCCGTCGAAACAGCAGATTTTTGTCTAGTGGTCTTCACGCACCGAACGTCACCGAACTGTCTAATAAAGTCGAATAGTACTACGCGCAGAATAGCTCCCTTATTTCGCCCCAGTTCCCGTCAGGCTCTCCTACCGCGTACCTATTGAATATAATAAACCAACGCAAGGAATCGCGAGCCGCGGAATACAACACAGCGATCTCGTTGGTTCTGTCGTGCATACAATGATTTTTGGAAATTGTTTTCTCCAACCGCGTTAAACATCTGCCGCGATGCAACTTGTATCTTTTCCACGGTGTCGAAATGCTGTCTCCTGGGGTTTCGATTTCATTTTTGGAAATAGAAAGAAGTCAGTTTGTTAGATTTAGCTCCTTGTGGGTATTTCGAAGGGAACGAAAGCCAAAAGGTTCATTGATTAACACGTTGGCCACCTGTGATTGGAGATTCTCTCCTCGATGGGACCGCGGTGGTCGTCAATGACCGGAGTGCTTCGAATGTTTAGAATAATTAAAATAAAATGAATATCGTCAACTACAAGTTTCGAATGTCATAGACTAACTACACATTATTTGGAATTAAAAAATGGTAATAATAAAGTAAAGCATAATGTAATATTAATAACATTATATTATACTTAGAATAATGAAAATCGTATCTCGTATAGTTAGAGGGGACACGAATGGTCCATTTTGGAAATCTCTTCATAATTAGTAAATACTTCGGAAGTATTAGATTATTAGGAAAGTGTAGTGTTTAAATTCGTTAGACAGATAAAACTCGACGAAAACATTAAAATTCCCATTATTCTGAATTATTATTTTCTCGTGTCTTCTGGAAAAGATTTTTGGTATGTACGATAAAGTAAATTGCCAGAAATAAAAAGTACATGGTTTAAAATATAATTGTCCCAGGTGAGAACAATTTCTTAATAAATCAAAGTTCACCTGAGAATTTCGAGAAGTCGACGAAAGTATTTAATAGATATCGCGGTGAATAGTACATGTATATAAGATATGACCATCGGGAGAAATGCAGATTGTTGTAAATAAACCTCTGGCGTGGAATTGTTTTTGTCACAGCCCCTTCCATGTTCCGCGTATCTGCTGTAAATACAAAGTTTCTTATGTCCTTTGTTGAGATCTTTAGGTCCCGTCCTTTTGCATACATACACACGATCCACGCCCCTTGTGTTATTCGTAGTTCAGTTCGTGTCTTGACTCGGCTGAGGAAGGCCATTCGTGTTGTAAGTTGAGTGATTGACGCGATTCTGTAGGGCTTACTAAATCGTGCGCGTTTCGCGAAGTTTCGTGAAGCAAGGTTGGTGCTAAATTGAACAATACGTGTAATTGTTTACAACAGTGAATAGTTCATGTTAACATTTATTTAAGTATGTTAGAAAATTTGAAGATAGTATTAGATGCTTATTTTAACGAATTTAAACAAATTTTGAAATAGGCTTGCGAGTTATTAATTTTCTTAATGCCTTGCCTTAACAATTATACTAAGAACATTTGAAAGAAACGATGGATTTAGAAAATAATTCTTTTATCAAAGAGAAATTTACTATTGCACTTCCTGAGTGTACTTTTATATTTAAAAAATTGCAGGAATTAGGTTCTGAGAATGAAAATATGGGTGATTAAATTATTATGATCATTTCGAAATTATGCCTCGTTTATTTGAAGTTTGCTATATTTTTGTGTTGTTTTATTTTGATAATACGTAGCAAGGATTTTAACACTTCTACGAATTATTAGGAATTTTCAAAAATATATCTATCAATATTTTGTCACCCTTCGTATTTATTATTGCTTGAGTACGGCTCAGCATACTTTTCATATTTTTTCTACAGTATTCTGTTATTCTCCTGCGTCACGATGTCATACTGACACAAGTTTCTCAATCAGTTACTATTGCAGTTCAACCTTTTAATAATCCCCATCGGTTTTCTATTGGTTTCACATCCGAGAATGTCACCTATGACAAAATTTGAATACTTTTTAGCCAAATAAGCTGTCAAAATAAAATCGAACTGTTTATCTACAGCATCGGTCACGAATTTAATCGCTCAGTGCAAAAGTGCGATGTAATTCAATTTGTTTCAGTTAATTTCATTTAAGTCAATGTAATTCCAGTTCCGTTTATCAGGTTCACAGTTTTACATCCAACTCGGCAGAGTGAATTTTATCATTCTCACTGAATCAATACAGTTACTTTCAGTTCCATCGCATTTTAACGCACACGATTAAATTTTAAGCGGCGGTGTATGTGTTAAGAACAGAAAGAAAATATATTTTATTAGTACCTTGCCTTAACCCTTTGCACTCCTTTGTCGAGTCACACTCGACATTTTTAAATTGCCAGTTTAAATGCGTATTAGATTTCGCAATATTTTTTCTACACCTAGATAAGCAATATTACACGTACACTACCGGCCAAAAGTTTGAAATCGCCGAGCATTGCAATTTACGGGAAAATTTGCAGAAAAAAGTCAGCGACTTTGAGAATTTTTGATCGTTCGAATCAATTGATATGAGATAAATTGATAAATGTAGAATTGAGATAAACTTCAATTCTATAAAAAATTAGCAGCAGATTTAATATTGATGAAAAATGGGAGGTGATTCCAAAATTTTGGCCGGTAGTCCAATTGTTACAGAAAAGTGTCACATGTGTGTAACGAAGCAATTGTTTACATTGCTTCCTATCAACCAATTGTCCTCTGAAGTGCTTTTCAGACAAAACACTTAAAATAATGCGGAGCTATTGGAAAGACAATGAAAAAAGAATTCAGAGTGCAAACACTTACACTCAGAAATAAAAGTAAAAACTCTCCGAGTGTTAAAAGTCGTAATATCATCGAAGATAGGAAAAATACAATTTTTCCATCTGACCGCAACAATTTGATCACCCAAGCAGCAATTCTAAGCGAAGCGTTAATCCATTCCAAGGTGTATCAGCCATTCACAGCCTCGTCTTCGTAATTCAAGCATTTTTCCTCGGGCTCGCGTTAATTTTCAATAAAGCCCCCGCAGAAGCGGTCGATAATAATTTAGCGATAAAGAGGTTCGCCGATTGGACGACGAACGGAAACGTATGCAGCACGCGGAGAGAGCGCAATTAACGAATGACCTTTCATGACGGCAATCGATTAATCCCGGCTCCGCGAGCGAGCCAAGGCGTCGTGCGCGTTTCTTTTGCGTCCGCTTCTTCTTCGTCTTCTTCGCCTTCTTCCTTATCCTCTTCGTCTACTTCTTCAAGCTTCTTCTTCTTCTTCTTTATCGCCGCCTCGGGGGCTGTGCACGATAGCATCGAATGATCGATAGCTTGGAAAATGATCCCCCGCGCGCTGCCATTCATCGCGGTGAAAATAATTAAACGGACGACTTTGGATTTACAGTAACACGGAAGTGGCCGATGGATACGCGCTCGCGAGCGCGCACGAGCGTTCACCGACACCTCGTATATTTAACGATGTCACCGATACGCGCCGTTCGATGAACGCGAGAAGCGTGAAACTATAATCTACCGATTAATTTTCATCGAATCGAACGGATCGTTTAGTTTTGGTATCGATGGGAATTTCGGGGCTTTTCGAGAGGGATGAATAGCTCGTGAAGAATAGAAAGAAAGGATTGTGTGCTTCTTTGGTGGATTGAATCGTGATGCAAAACGTTCCTGCGATTGTATTTTCGTAGAATGAAAATTGGCAAAAAGAAGGTTTAAATGTTCCTTGGCCTCTCTATCCAAAGAAGTTACGATGTCTCTTTTCCTTCGATCTATAAATTCTTTAATAAATGCCTCGAAGGTAATAGTCGGCAAGAGGTACCGAAGAAGATTTGTGAATCGCTTGTTCTTTGGAAAAGTGTACCAAGCTGTATGCTGCACGGACCAGAATTATATTTAGATTTTCCTAAGTTAGGTTTCTGTCGAATTACGAACATTGTTTCCTCTTTGCACCAATACAAAGAAGAAACTTAAATCCTACAGAGAAATCTCTATCGTGATCGAAATTTCATAGTTACCAAACCATTTATTTTCGATTAAAAATATTAAGAAAAAGAGAAACAACGATTACACCACATGTTCTAAAAAAAAATCACATTCTTCGTTCTCAGTGTCACTGGTGCGCGGATAAATCGACGTTTGAATCTCTGGACTGTATCGTGCCGCCTGTAGTTAACAGACTCCTTTATTCATTTTCGAATCGTAGAGAGCGCACGTCGAGTTCTCTCGTTCGTAGTACTTGGCCAGCTTACTGAATCACGGGGGAATATTTATCGCGTTAGGGAAGTTACCATCCGCGGTTGGATCCTTCCGGTTTCCAGTTACGTGATTATCAACCGATAGCCCTGGGGCACACCGTCTCCAACCATGAGAATTTCACCCGTTCTTTTATTCACGGTGAACGAAAACCTTTTGCTTGTCTGGTTGCAGCCCACCTGGAGACGCCTGGAGCAGGCTGGCCACGATGGTGAACCTGCTGGAAAAATTGAATTACTCCAAAACGATCCTTATCCGGGCCAAGGACGCGGAGGGCCGGGACGACGGTGAGTGAATTTATAAATCGATATCCTCGGGGGATGCTGGTAGCTGTGAAAACGTGTTCTCCCTTCGTTTTAACCCTTTCGCTACGGACACGTTGCATCGAAGTACAGATACCGTAAAATTTTCGCAAGTTATTATTTAGGAACGGTGAAATTATGCTTACTTGAAAGAATTTCTTTACTTTGTACGAATAATTAGTCATTTTTTCCTGGTAATTTATTATTATTTCAACGATAAGGAAATAATTTTGAGTAATTATTGGTAGCAGTGAGAAAGGGTTAGGTATTTGTTTCATTTTTAAGGAAGACTGCTGTTTAATTTTCGAGATAGTTTCGAATTTGTGTTGGAAATTATTTTTTACCGAATGACGTTGCTTATCTTGAAATCTTGAATAATTATCTGTAGTAGCGAAAGGGTTAACCTGTTGGTTTTTATTTTTAAACAAGACTGCTGTTTAATTTAGGGGATAGTTTCGAACTTGCATTGGAAGTTATTTGTCGCCGAGCAGTATTGTTTAAGCGTTATTTTTCTTAAGTTAAATTAAATTTAATTATCTGTAGTATTGAAAGGGTTAATCTGTTACGTACCCCGTTGATTTTTTTTTTCAAACTTTTTCTCGACGTTTCTTTTAAATATTTAAATAAGACTGCTATTGGGAATAATTTCTAAGTTGTATTGAAAATTATTTGATACTCAATTAACTGTAGTTTTCTTAAAAGAAATATATTTGGCTCACTTCACGTAACTTTTTCGCTCTCCTGAAGAAATATTACATATTTCTAATGTAATTCCACCTCAGTTAGTATTTTTATAATGTATCCAAATCCGCAACAACACTACTGTCCCAAAATTTGCGATCACTGTGCATTGCAAGTTACACAAGAATTGCCAAAAAGAAGTTCATAACTTCAAAAATTGTCTAATTTCTCTGCTACAATTTTTTATCGCTCAAGAAATTAGTAACACATCAGATACTACTGTAAATTGGCTGATCCCAAACTTGGAACTGCCAATGTGTCCAATAATACCTGTTACGATCTGCTCGTGGTAGTTGCAACCAACTTTCGAGCCTTGTCGATTTTAGCACGTGGTGTGCCGATTAAGTCTAACAGGTTCGTCTTCGAAGGACCACCTCCGTGATTAGGAGGACAAAACAACTATTGCTATTGACTAAACTTCTTAAGAGCGACTCGTGGCGTGGTCAGATGACTTCTGTCTGTCCTTTCCGCGAAAGGTCCCACGACACCTCCGTGCGAGGACGCATCGCGGGGGTGAGGCCCTCGGATAGGTTGAATACATTTTTCGATAGTGGTGGGGAAGAGTGGTTGGCGAAAACCATTGGTTAAAATCATAGGTGGGAAAACTACACGAAAATGCCACTCCCCAGACCATAGGTCACTCTCAGGCACCAAGCGCACCCTTGAGTGACGCACGCGGGAATTCCGAGTGCCTCGAACAACGACCGTAGCAGACAATAACGTTAAGACGCGCTTCGGCTCTGGTGACCATATGAATGCAAAAATGTACAAGTGAAAAAAGGGGCGAAGATTCTAAGTAGAAAACGAGGCAATAAAGGTGAAAGCAAGTTCTTAGATTGAAAGGCTACGAACGAAGGCGAAAAAATATATACAATAGAACTACATTGCACTCGATAAAATTTACAATCAATTCGACGGGGGAATTTTTAGCAAATATATTGGCTTTGGTCAGTGACATGACTAGTATTACATGCGTTAAACTAAAGATTAAATAGTAACTATAGAAGATCTACAGGAATCTACCAGTAGTATTAGTGTTTGTCATGACGGTTATGATGGTTGGGTAAATCTGTTAACTAGTTTGAGGGGGTGAGCCCTCTTCAGTCTGTATCTGTGGTCGTTGATTTGTAACAGGTTGGTGACGAGATTGTTTTCATGATGCGTGAGTTGGTGAAGGTGTCTTTTGCTGTATCTGATGATTTCTTCTGTCACGGTTGTATAGAACTACACGCTAAGAAATCTAAGGGTCGGGCGGCCGGCATACCTGTCGAGGATTAAACAATACCGATAATTACGAAAGTGGCCTAAGTCATACATTTCTGAATTTTCCCTTTGTGTGTCTTAAAAAATATTTCAAAAATTACTTCCTCCTGTAATACAACTCTTCCCTACGAAAAACTAGGCTCGACACAAAAACAACCGATAAATTCAATTTTTCTACATTTCTAACTTAAACCATTTTCATAATCACCGTCCCAATTGCAACAAGACACTTTCGAACGCGCCACCTAAGAAGCAGAATTTCCCACAAATTACCACGTCCCCTCAGTGAAACAACTAGTCACATTCAAATTACTTCCTCGACTTTAAACGTTCCTCATGCTAAACGTCCTCCCAGCAAGGCGTCTCCAGGACCGATCCAATCGATCATCATTAACACGCTCGCGGTGTGTTCAACCACCAGTTGGAACACGGTAGAAAAGAAAATCTCCATCGTTAAGTCACCAATATGTCAACACGACGTTCGGTCCATTCTTCGTTCAATTCGATCACAGTAATCCAGACACCGTTCTCCTTAACTCCAGTTTCCTTGGAACATTGGCTCCGGTAGGCATCGGACGGGGTGCGATGATGTGATGAATCGGGCGAGTTAATGACGGGTAATCGTTGCTAGATCTGCCGTTAGTCGAACGTGTAAAATCTTGACGGTGAGCAATTTTATCCTCTTTCGTTTGTCATAATTCGATCGTGTGTCGTGGAGCATTAAATACACGGGGATTCGCGGAGAGCTTCTGTCGCTCTCGATGGTTATAATGATTCGTGCAGGGGGGGAGAGGCCGGTCTTATTTCAAATCCGCAGATTTAATGGAACGTTACGAGTTTTACTGTAACCACGTAATGATAGCGTCGCTGCTACGCTATTATAAATGCAGCCAGACGAGCAACGCGAACGAAGTAACCGTATTATAATTGCACAGCTAATGGCGGTAGGAATGCAATCAGAGATTGAGGAACACCGGTTGATCATTACGATTTTTACCTTTCGTCTACTTCCATCGGTGTTGTATAGTGGAGCAATGTCGCGATGGTAATAATTCGAAACGGCTAATAGTACCGCGTGAATACGCGATCTGAGCAACAGCTCTCTTTCAGTTTCTTCTCCGACCTGTTCTGGGGAATTAATATTCCGCTAGTGATTTCTCTGCAAGGTGGACGAGTTCGTAGAGAATGTAACAATAGTAATTCGTCGTGATAAGAGGCTGTATGTTGCACTTTTCGTTTAGGTAGAACGTGACTGGGGTGATTCAGTGGCTCGTGTTGGGAGATTCATTTTTTTTTTTTATTTCTGGGGGAGGATAAAGTGCGAGTTAGTGGTGTGGAAAGTGGGGGTTAAGTTGGAGAACGTTGGGAGGACATTTTTCTCCCGGTAAGGAGATGTTGTAGGTAAAATCGTCAGTAGTGGATGGAAATGATAATAATTGTTGTTACTGTGAGTTGGGTTTAATTTGAAAAAATTAATTTTTTTCTGCTTAGGGTTTTTACTGTTTATGTTACATTGAAAGAATTTCAGTAATGTATTTTTAAATAATGATACTTGTATGTTAGCTGCTGTATGGATGAAAAAGTAGACGAAGAAAGGGAGTTCCGTAGTTGCATAATTTGGATAATTTTGAGATTGGGTAATTTAAATTGTGTTCAATTTTAAAAGCACTTGTAAATAAAATGAAATCATCTGTAGTGGATAGGAATGATAATAACTGTCCTTACTGTGAGTTGGATTCAATTTGAAAGAATTTAAAAAATTTGTTATTCTATGTTGAAAGAATTAGGGTAAAGTGTAATTTGAATATAACATGGACCAGAAAATAGTTGAAAAAAGAAGTTCTAAGGATGATTATAAAGTTTCCACTTGTTAAGTATTTTAGAATGCATTAGATCCTCGATTGTTGCGTTTCTCTTTTATCAATTGGTAAAGTAACTCGATTTAAGTGAAACTTTATTTTCCAATTCGAGCCGAAATACAAAGTTGCTTTCTGAAACAACATATTGCATATGAATTGCACTATTTGCAAATTCATAAATGTATAAAATTCAACGACACGTAGGGAATATCAAAAGTTGCTATTAAAACTTTTAACCCTTTGAGGACGACGATTCCATGTATGCATTCAGTAAGGACTACTCACGTAGTCCATAAACTCATACATATTTGTCCAACAACAGGAGTTTATACGACATGGTCATGAACTCATGTATGAATATTTGCAGGAGGGATAGCTTTGATATGATTTAATTTAAAAAATATATATATATAGTGACCTAGTTGTTCGTTTCATAAATAAAGGGTTAATTTAAAAGGAAAGGTGATTAGATAGAGCTCTCGGAGCGTCAAATTGTTTTTCTCAGTGACGAATAACTAATGAAGGATTAACGAATGAGGGAATAACAAATGAACATATAACGAATAACGATTGAACGAATGAAGGATTAACGAATAACGAATGAACGAACGAAGGATTAACGAATGAACGAATAACGAATAAGGGAATAACAGTCCAACGGTGGATTATACAATATTAAGTTGGAATATCCAAATTGGTCATTTCTCTAGAATTTTCCCTTGACTTCGCAAATCTCCCTTCTCGACATACCCAACATCACCCACGTCATCCGGACGTTCATTACGCGGTCTGGCCGTCCCGTGGCCGTAATTCCCGAGCGAACGACCAGCCGGTCCGCGACGATCCCCCGCGATAACGCGGCTCGAATCCTCTCTGGACCAGTCGTTTAATCGAAAAAGCCAAGTTCCTCGAACGGTGAAGCCTCTGGCCGTGTGTTGACCCGCGGATAGCCGCCGGTTACGTAACGGTGAATCCGTTCGATGTGACCACTGCAGCAGTGCCATATACACTCTCCTCTGGCCGTTTACAAGTCGCCAGCCAATGGTGTTCAGGCCTGTGCACCATAGGGGCCACGCCGCGCTACTGTCTGTGCTCTCTCCAGTTCCCGCTCTTTTTTTCCCG